CATGAATGATTGCCGTAAAAGAAAGGCCTAATTATTTGTAGTTAATTGCTTCAGCACCAAAAAATATATTTAATGGCGAAGATAAAAGTACTATTGGGCTCTCTGGATATATTATGATTCTGATCATAAATGTTTGCTAAGTAAATTCCTTTGTCACTTTTTATCTGTGAGGGTGAGTATACTAAACTGACTGTACCTGGAAAAGTTCTGAATCTCAACAAGAAAATTAGGCACTAGAAAGTGAAACATGACTTTCTGAAATTAGTACGAGGCTGCTTTGGTTGACAACCAATGCCTGAATAATTCTGCTGAAGAACTATTCTATTCAAAGGTATTGGAAATGACCCATGAATCTTGGGGGAGGTAAAACCTCCCCCATGAAAAAGTACATCTCAAAGGAAACCAGTAAAGTGCCATCCAAGACTGAACTTACATCACAATGAGATGACATGCAAGATACAGGAGGAAATGATTGAGTGTTGGAAAAGTTAATTTGATATGCAGTGCCAAAACTAAAAGCAATAAGATTAAATTCATACTCCAGAAGATCAAACAGATAACATGGAAAGTATTTTGTACAGTGCAGTAAAACATAATAAAACGCAGAGAAGGAAAGTTCCTCATAGTTGGATCTGATGATCTTGAATGATAAGAGTATTGTATCAAGCTACACTTCCTAAAGTCGGATAATCCATCAAATTACTTAAGAAATATCAATGACCTGGATCAGGTGAGACCTGCAATAAAAACTTTGAATATCTGGTGGTTTTGATTATATAAGGAGATTATTCAATATAGCTAGCTGGGGCTGAAATGTTAAGGGTGTGCATGTTCTTGTAAAGCTTATTGTCTTTTGGACTAAATTTAGTAACAATGCTGTAATTTAAGGAAGTGACTAGTATAAATGTAACAACTACTGTACTATTCTTTGTAGTTGGTTTAACAAGCAAGAAAATGGTAGAGGTTGCCAAAAAAACTTCCTCTTGAGGGAAAAGTAATTTTCTGAAAAGCAAGACTGTCGGCAAAGGTATACAGAATGGATTCTTAAATTCTATTTGACTGGATAAGAGGCATTTGACTTTTTGTTACCTGTTCAATATATTTGAATGGAGCAATCCTTGCATAATTTGCCAAAATAGATTGAGAGCAGTCACTACTTAAAATGTGACTGGATATTTTGCTGCTTCCAGTAGCAAAGACTGAAAATTGGAAGATGCAAGAAGAAAGTCTTCGCAATTTCCTGATAACTAACATTAGCAAAGGGTTATTTCCAATGAAGGAGGTCAAGACTAATTTTGAAGAGAAACTGTGTTCTGCAGAAATAATCCCGGGGACATCAAGTTGAGACTGAGATGAAAAAGAATTTCTTCTGAGGGTTGAGAGTCTTTGGAACTCTACCCCACAACTCTCTGTGACATAAGAGTCCTTGCGTATGGTTGTGAGTTTTAATTGGCAGGGGAATCAAGACTTACGGGGAAAAGCAGGAAAGTGGGCGTGAGGAATGTCAGATCAGTCATGATCCTATTGAAAGGTGGAACAGCCTTAAGCCAGAGATAGTAGGAACTGCAGATGCTGGAGAATCCGAGACAACAAGGTGCAGGACTGGATGAACACAGCAGGCCAAGCAGCATCATAGGAGCAGAGAGGCTGACGTTTCGGGCCGAGACCCTTCATCAGAAAAGGGGGAGGAGAAGGGGGTTCTGAAATAAATAGGGAGAGAGTGGGAGGCAGATAGAAGAGGGATAGAGGAGAGGATAGGTGGAGAGGAAACAAACGGGTCGAAGAGGCGGGGATGGAGCCAGTAAAGGTGAGTGTAGGTAGGGAGTTAGGAAGGGGATAGGTCAGTCCAGGGAGGACGGACAGGTCAAGGGGGCGAGATGAGGTTGGTCGGTAGGAGATGGAGGTGCGGCTTGAGGTGGGAGGAGGGGATAGGTGGGAGGAAGAACAGGTTAGGGAGGCAGGGACGAGCTGGACTGGTTTTGGGATGCAGTAGGGGGAGGGGAGATTTTGAAGCTTGTGAAATCCACATTGATACCATTGGGCTGCAGGGTTCCCAAGCGGAATATGAGTTGCTGTTCCTGCAACCTTCGGGTGGCATCATTGTGGCACTGCAGGAGGCCCAGGATGGACATGTCGTCTGAGGACTGGGAAGGGGAGTTGAAATGGTTCGCGACTGGGAGGTGCAGTTGTTTGTTGCGAACCGAGCGTAGGTGTTCTGCAAAGCGGTCCCCGAGCCTCCGCTTGGTTTCCCCGATGTAGAGGAAGCCACACGGTTACGTGGAACAATCCCTCTTCCGTACCTACACCGGCCCTAAACCCCACCTCTTCCTCCGTTACATTGATGACTGTATCGGCGCCACCTCGTGCTCCCACGAGGAGCTCGAACAGTTCATACACTTCACTAACACCTTCCACCCCAACCTTAAGTTTACCTGGACCATCTCTAACACCTCTCTCCCCTTCCTGGACCTCTCTGTCTCCGTATCGGGCAACCACCTAGAAACCGATATTCATTTCAAGCCCACCGACTCCCACAGCTACCTAGAATACTCCTCCTCCCACCCACCTTCCTGCAAAAATGCTATCCCCTATTCCCAATTCCTTCGCCTCCGCCGCATCTGCTCCCAGGATGAGGCATTCCACTCCCGTACATCTCAGTTGTCCTCGTTTTTCAAGGACCGTAACTTCCCCTCCTCGGTGGTCGAGAACGCCCTCAACCGTGTCTCCCACATCTCCCGCACCTCATCCCTCACACCCCGTCCACGCAATAAAAACCAAAAAAGAATCCCCCTCGTCCTCACGTACCACCCCACCAACCTCCGGATCCAACGCATCATCCTCTGACACTTCTGCCATCTGCAATCCGACCCCACCACCAAAGACATCTTTCCCTCCCCACCCTTATCTGCTTTCCGGAGGGACAACTCTCTCCGTGACTCCCTTGTCCGCTCCACACTCCCCTCCAGCTCCACCACACCCGGCACTTTTCCCTGCAACCGCAGGAAGTGCTACACCTGCCCCCATACCTCCTCCCTCACCCCCATCCCAGGCCCCAAGAAGACTTTCCACATCAAGCAGATGTTCACCTGCACATCTGCCAATGTGGTATACTGCATCCGCTGTACCGGGTGTGGCTTCCTCTACATCGGGGAAACCAAGCGGAGACTCGGGGACCGTTTTGCAGAACACCTACGCTCAGTTCGCAACAAACAACTGCACCTCCCAGTCGCGAACCATTTCAACTCCCCTTCCCAGTCCTCAGACGACATGTCCATCCTGGGCCTCCTGCAGTGCCACAATGATGCCACCCGAAGGTTGCAGGAACAGCAACTCATATTCCGCTTGGGAACCCTGCAGCCCAATGGTATCAATGTGATTTCACAAGTTTCAAAATCTCCCCTCCCCCTACCGCATCCCAAAACCAGTCCAGCTCGTCCCTGCCTCCCTAACCTGTTCTTCCTCCCACCTATCCCCTCCTCCCACCTCAAGCCGCATCCCCATCTCCTACCTACTAACCTCATCCCGCCCCCTTGACCTGTCCGTCCTCCCTGGACTGACCTATTGCCTTCCTAACTCCCTACCTACACTCACCTTTACTGGCTCCATCCCCGCCTCTTCGACCGGTTTGTTTCCTCTCCACCTATCCTCTCCTCTATCCCTCTTCTATCCGCCTCCCACTCTCTCCCTATTTATTTCAGAACCCCCTTCCCCTCCCCCTTTTCTGATGAAGGGTCTCGGCCCGAAACGTCAGCCTCTCTGCTCCTATGATGCTGCTTGGCCTGCTGTGTTCATCCAGCCCTGCACCTTGTAGCCTTGAGCCAAATGGCTTACTCCCGTTCCTATTTCTTATGGTCTTTTGATCAGGGCAATTAGGGACAGGCAACAAATGCTGGTCTTGCCAGCAAAACCCACATTGTATGAAAGAATTTTTTTAAAAAGTCATCCTGTACAAGGAGCAAAAACAACCAGCAACCATTTGCTTTGTAGGAAAAAAAGTTGAACTCCAATCAAAGAATGATTGTGCATCAAATAGCCAGACTTCTCCAAGAATCAATAGTAACTCTGATTTTTGACAAAAATCCATGAATGTATAAAATATTTTTTGCAGAGGGTATCCCAATCTGCAATCCTGTTCAATTATGCCTAAGAATTAACATTTGAAGCATTTTAATGAAGAATTCATAGGATATAGGTTTTTAAAAAAATATTACACCATTGGATACAGGGCATGTAATGTTGTTGTAGCTTGTAAATAGTATTAGCAATGGATAATGAAGTTAATTTGAATATTGCACATCATTACATGTAATACATTGTACTGAGACAGGCATGCTATTGTGCATTGTTTGGGCCGGTAAAGTACTCATTATTTTCTGAGAGATCTTATGCAAAAGAGTTTGTAATTTCTCTTGTCATGGTCTCTACAGACCCAGTTCTTCATCAGCCTAGCCTCCCTATGAGATCACACCCAAAGCTGCTGATAAACAGATGGTCAGTGCAAATACTATGTATAGCTAACAAATATCTGGCAATCTAAAGCTCCAAAGAAGCAGACTTTGATGTCAGTGTGACAGAAAGTTGTCTACAGACAAAATCCGTCTGTTTTTCTCCAAACTCTGAAAAGTCAAGTCTATCCTGTTAGATTTATTTTACTGTATATTATGAATCTGAATAACTAAAGGTGATTAATAATGAACTTGTGTCCCTAGTTTGGTCTCTTTTAGACTCTGAGAACTAATTTCTCTGTTTCCTGCTAACACGATATTTTACTTAAGGAATGCACTCTTGATCCTATCATAACTACTTAAACTAATTGTAAACTAATTTGAATATGGAAAGAAAAATCTAATGCAATCTAAAGTGGCAACAAAACAAAAAATGCAGTTTCAAGAATTACACAAGATGTAATACAGATACTTCAAACAATTTCAAGACTGACGTTTGGCAATAATTGAAACATGACAGGAGTCTGTAATAAAAGTGGTTATGAAATGATATAGGGATAATTAATTGACTGTAGCATTACTGTGGATTTAAACATTGAAAGTGGCTTTGGATTTTTCTCAACAGGGCATGAATATCCTTTCAGCATTAAAATGAGTCACATTCAGAATGCAGCTGCACAGGCACCATCATCTAAAGACTCACTCTACCCTCTGGATTTCCAGGGGCCCTTCTTCATTGAGCAGTTGCCTGTGGAGATGCAGTGTCAGTTCATCTTAAAGCCAAGTCGCTTGGCACCATGCCAACAGATGGCTGGTAAGTATTTCTCATAGATGGTGAAAATAAACACACAGTTTTTTAAATTATCTATATTGGTTTGTAAAACTGAGTTTCAAATTCCAGGTAGATGATGTAAATGTTAGAAGGAATGTGTTGATTTTATATGGACGCGGTTTTTAAAAGAATTACAAACACTTGGAATTTTCTTCTCCTGGAATAAGGAAAGAAAACTATTGAAATTTTTTCACCCTGGGATTACAGGAAAAAATATTACAGTCCTGAAACTGTAAAATAAGAACTTGCCTTAAAAATTTCCTGCCAATTTTTTGGATTGTGGAAAATTCAGCTGAAAAACTTGTAGCTTTCTGCCAAGCAGGAAGTGACCTTCACTGAAAGGTAGTTTTCTATATCCAGAAAATAAAATTATATCTCCTGAAAGTCCCATGAATTTTTAAATCATAATGGCAACTCATAATAAATAGCCAGGTTTTAAGGAGAAAACGGGATTAGTTTCAGCATGGCCATATCCTCCTTTTTGCAATTATTTAAAATATGCGGTGAACTGTCTCACTTTACTTCCCCAACACAAGAATGTTTACTAGTGAAAGGCAGTCACTGTGATACTATGATGTCAACGGAACTAGAAACAGTCCAAATGTACAGGCAAAATTGGGACTGGGGAGTGTGCGGGAAGTCAGCACTTGAATTTAATAAGCCATTTAACTTCAAAATGGGCTTGCAGAAGTGGAGCCAAGTGAATGTTCAGACTAAAGGAGAGGCTTTCCTTGTCACACTTCACCATTGCTATGGTGGACACTGCAGAGTTAAAACGTACTTGTTATTAAACATGTCAAATACTTACCTTGAGCTTTCAGCTGAATTCATTGTGAAGGTAATCTGTAAATTGTACATAAAAATAACCAGTTGTTAAATCATTACACTAGAACTCATCAAATTATTTACTGATGGATTCAGTCACGTTAGAATAATAGAAAATGTTTTAATCAAAATATACTTATTTTTAAATTATATAATTGCAAATCGAAGTGCTGGAGAAATTCAGCAGATCTGGCTGATTTCAGATTTCCAGCACCTGCAGTATTTTCTTATTGATGTAAAATATAGACTTGGACTAAGTGCATTTGGAAGACCGGTTTCTAAATTTGATATTTACAGGTGAAAATTAACTTCCCTTTCTTCCTTAAACTAATTCATTACTTGTAGATAACCCTAAATGCAATGACAATTCAGGTTTCTTTTCTTTTCCCATCATCAGACATCTTTGTAAACCCCTCACAATTTCTCCATACCTCCATCTCAAATACCAAATTCATCTGTGCACTTGCTTCAGCCCCATCTACTTACCCACTTGCTCCAGGTATCTGCCCACCCTTTCTAGCCCAGGACTTGCAACCTTTTGCAGTTTCTCCCCCAACTTCCCCTAAGTCTTCCCAAATAAATTTAATCGTAGGACCCACTTACTATAATTTAAAATACCTACCTACCTAACCCCTCCTGGTTCTACCCTTCCTTACATTATTGATGGCTCCTTTTTTTTTCCCCGATATCATTCTTCTTCTTTCTGTGAACTCCTTCCTATAGTAAACTATCCGTCCTCTTCAATTCAGTCATCTTCTCCGCCACCTTCCCCGATGAGTTAATTTAATATATTAATGCTGCCTAAACATTTGATCCTCTTTCTTAAAACCATTTTTGAACAGCACTATTAGCCTCATGTCCACGGTCTGCCTAACATTCCCGTACCATTTGTTATGGCTGATCTCGCCATCACCCATCCAGCTCTAAGGAAGTGTATTTTTTAATGCACTAGTGGGATGTGGGCATCGCTGGCTGGCCAGAATTTATTGCACGTCTATAGTTGCCCTTGAGAAGATGGTGGTGAGCTGCACTCTTGAACCATGGCAGTCCGTGTGTCATAGGTGGACCACAATGCAGTTAGGGAGGGACTTCCAGGACGTTGACCCAGCAATACTGAAGGAACAGTGATATATATTTCCCAATCAGGATGGTGAGTGGCTTAGAGGGAAACTTACAGGTGGTGGTGTTGCCATATATCTGCTTGTGCTTGTCCTTCTAGATGGAGTGGTCTTGGGTTTGGAAGGTTCTGTTTAAGGATCTTTGATGAATTTCTGTAGTGCATCTTGTGGATAGTACATACCACTTCTACTGAGCGTCGGTGGTGAAGGGAATGGATGCTTCTGGATTTGGTGGCAATCAAGTGGGCTGCTTTGTCCAGGGTTTTGTCAAGCTTCTTGAGTGTTGTTGGAACTGCACTATCCAGGCAATGGTGGAGTATTCCATCACACTCCTGCTTTGTGCCGTGTCGACGGTGGACACACTTTGCAAATCAGGAGGCAAGTTACTCACCGCAGATTTCACTGTAGCCTCTGACCTTCTTTTGTAGCCACTATGTTTATATGATGAGTCCAGTTAAGTCTCTGGTCAATGGTAACCTCCAGGACGTTGATAGTTGGGAATTCAGCAATGGTAACATCATTGAATGTCAACGGGTGGTAGTTATATCTTCTGTTATTGGAAATGGTCCTAGCCTGGCATTTGTGTGGTGCGAATGTTACTTGCCACTTGTCAGCCCAAACCTGGATGTTGTCCAGATCTTGTTGCATTTCAACTTGGACTGTTTCAGAATCTGAAGAGTCACAAATGGTACTGAACATTGTGCAATCATCGGCAAACATGAAGATCATTGTTGAACAGGTGAAGACAGTTGGGCCTAGGACACTACCCTGAGGATCCCCTGCAGAGATGTCCTGGAGCTGAGATTACTGACTTCCAACAACCATAATCATCTTCCTATCTGCTAGGTATGACTCCAACCAGCAGAGAGTTGGCCCCTGATTTCCATTGATTCCAGTTTTACTAGGACTCCTTGATGCAACACTTGTTTGAATGTGGCCTTGATGTCCAGGGCTATCACTCTCACCTGATAGCTGGAATTCACAGCTTTTGTCCACGTTTGAACCAAGGCTGTAATGAGGTCAGGAGCTGAGTGGATTCTGCTGAGTCAAACAGGGTGTCGCTGAGCAAGTGCTGCTTAATAGCTTTACTGATGATTGAGAATAGATTGGAGTGATAATTGGGCAAGTCGGATTTGTCTAACTTTTCGTGTACAGGACACCCTGGGCTATTCTCAACATTGTTGGGTAAATGTCAGTGTTGTAACTGTACTGGAGCAGCTTGGCTAGGGGAGTGGCAAGTTCTGGAACACAAAAATTCAGTGCTATTTCCGGAATGTTTTCAGGATCCATAGCCTTCGTAGTATCCAGTGCCTTCAACGGTTTCTTAATATTGCATGGAGTGAATTGATTTGGCTGAAGAATAGCATCTGTGATTCTAGGGACCACTAGAGAAGACCAAGATGGATCATCTACTTGGCACTTCTGGATGAAGATTGCTGCAAATGCTTCAATTTTATCTTTTGGCACTAATGGGGTCTTCCAGCATTGAGGATAATGAGGATATTTGTCAAACTGCCACCTCCAGTGAATTGTTAAATTGTCCACCACCATTCACTCATAACTGGATGTGGCAGAACTGCAGAACTTAGATCTGCTCTGTTGGTTGCGGGATCGCTTAGCTCTGTCTATCTCTTGCTGCTTATGCTGTTTGGCACGCGAGCAGTCCTGTTTGGGTATCTGCACCAGGTTAACACTTTATTTTTAGGTATGTCTGGTGCTGCTCCTGGCATGCCCTTCTGCACTATCTATTGAACCAAGGTTGATCCTCTGGCTTGATGGTAATGGTTGAGTGGGGGATATGCTGGGCCATGAGGTTGCAGATTGTGCTGGAGTACAATTCAGCTAACCCACAGAGCCTCATGGGTGCCCAGTCTTGAATTGCCAGACCTATTCAAAGTCTGTCCCATTTAGCACAGTGATTGTGCTGTGTGGCACAATGTAAGGTAATTCCCAATGAAAAATGGAACTTCTTTCCACAAGGAAAGTGCAATGGCCATTCTTACTGATACTGTCATGGACAGATATATCTGCAGATTGGTAACTCTGAACTTTGCCCTCCACATTCTACCAGCAACATTAACCTTTTACTTTTGGCTGTCTGAACCCTTGTTTGCCTCCTGATTCATTGTACTAACAATATGCTCTAATTTACTATCCTCTATAAATAATAATTTATACAAAACACTCTGCATGCGTCCAGTAAGTTCCATTCGCACATCATCTTTATCATTGCTGGCTTACAGTAATATCTCTATTTCATAAAATACTGAACCTAACACTAACCTGAAACCTTGTCTTTCTCGTTAAATACATCCATGATTTTGCTTTGTTTTTTCTGCATATCTCCAAGTTCTACATGCCTACCTGAACACTGTTCCTTTTTTCTTCATCTGTCTATGTATCCTCCCCTTTCTTACTTCCACATAATGTCAGAACTTTCAGTTTCATAGAAACATATAAGATAGGAGTAGGCCATTTGAGCCCTTGAGTCTACTCCACTATTCAATATAAGCAAGGCTGATCATCAAGCTCAATACCCAAATCCCACCCTCCCCCCACCCCATATTCCTTGATCTTTTTAGTCACGAGCTACAGCTACCTCCTTCTTGAGAAAACATCATGTTTCAACCTCAACCATTTTTTCTACAGTAGTGAATTCCACAGGCTCACCACTGTCTGGATGCAGAAATGTCTCTTCATCTCAATCCTTAAACTATGATCCCTGGTTCTGATCTCCCCACCATCGAAAGCATTCTTTCTGCATCTAACCTGTCCAGTCTTGTTAGAATTTTATAGATTTCTGAGACTTCCCCTGTAGTCACCACTCCCCCCGCACCCCTGTTCTTCTGAACCCCAGTGACTACAATCCTAACTGAGTTAATATGTCTTCATATGTCAGTCCTGCTGCCCCAGGAATCAAATTGGTAAACTTTTGCTGCACTCCCTCTATAGCAAGAGCATCCTACCTCCGATAAGGAGACCAAAATAGCATGTAGTATTCTAGGTATGGCCTCACTGATTCCCTGTATTGAAGCAAGACATTCTTGTTCCTGAAACTGAATCCTCTCACTATGAGAGCCAAGGTATATTTTGCATTTGTTACTGCCTGCTGCATCTGCGCATTTACTTAGAGCGACTGGTGCACAAGGACACCCAGGCCTCTGACTGTAATTTCAGAGAGGGGAATGTTTATTCAAATAATAATCTGCCTTCCTACTTTTGCTCCCAAAATGGATAACCTCATGTTTATCCACATTATACTGCATCTGCCACGCATTTGTCCATTCACTCAGCCTGTCAAATCCCAGTGCAACATTTCTGCATCCTCCTCGCTGCTCACCATTCCACCCAGCTTTGTGTCATCTGCACATTTTAAGAATTACATTTAGTTACCTCATCTGAATTATAGGATTGCTACAATGTGGAAGGAGGCCACTCAGCCCAACGAGTCCATGCTGACCCTCTGAAAAGCATCCCATACAGACACACCGTCCTACTCTATCCCCTTTATCTTTTTAAGTCGTGACCTCTAGTTCTAGACGTTCCATCTTCCTCAGGGGAAACATCTTAACTGCATCTACCTTGTCTATCCCTTTTAAGTATTTTGTAAGTTTCAATGAAAGAGCCTTTCATTCTTCAAAAGTCAAGAACTCCCACCATCCTGGGAGCATTTCTCGTTTGCAAACCTATTGCTATGACCAATCAAATCATTATCATCCAAGTATCTGTTTATCCTTTTAAATAGATTCCAGCAATTACACTACAACTTAAGATTAACAGGTCTGCAGTTCTTGTTTTTTCTCTCTCACTCCCTTTTTAAATAGTGGGGTGACACTTATTACTCTTTCCACATTCTGGAATGATTCCTGTAGATTATAATTTTGGAACATATTCACTAATGCATCAACTATCTCTATACACACCTCCTTCAACACTCTGGGATGTAGACTGGAATCAATTCCTGGGGATTTATCAGTTTTTAGCCCATTAATTTTGCTGGTACAATCTTCTTGCTAAGACTAATTTCCTTCAATACTTCATTCTCTCGCACGTTTGGATTTCTAGTTCTGGAAGTTTTTTTGTATTCTCCTCTGTGTGAACGAGTCCTTTAACTTCTGTGCCATTTCTCTGTTCCCCGACGTTAATTCTCTTGACTCTACCTGGAGTGGACCCACATTTATTTTAGCCTTTTGTTCACTTTATATGTACCTGTAAAAGTCCATTTTAATGTTTTTTGCTAGATTAAATTCATATTCTCTTCTCCCTTTCCTTATCAGTTTTCCTTTGCTGTATTTATAAAAAAACTCTCAATTTTATTATTTTTGGACATTTTAATCTTCCACAAGTCTGACCTTACTTTGTTAGCCATGGTTTACTGGCCGTTTTGAGTTTGTGTGCCTTGTGGGAATGTATCATTGCTATAAGTCATAAGACTATCTTCAAAAATTATCCCTTGCCTATTATATCCTGCTTACCGCCCCGCTCTCTTTTTGAAAAAAGTTGCATTAACTACATTTTAATGTAATGGAACCTTCCCTGTATCCAGTGAAATTTGAAAAATGAAAACCAACACATCACCAACTCACTACACACACACTTCTTTCATGACCTTAGGATGAAAGTCATTAGGACCCGGGATCTTGTCAAACCACAGTTCCAACAATTTGCTAGCTACTGCTTCACTTTCTAAAATTTATTCACTGGATGTGGGCATTGCTGGCTCAGCCATCAATTATTGACCTATCCTTGGCTGCTTTTGAGAAGGTGTTAGTGAGTTGCCTCTTCAACTGCTGCAGGGAACTTGCTGTAGATAGACCACTGTGCCATTAGGGAAGGTCCTTCAGGAATTTGTCTGGATGATGAGTGGTTTGGAGGGGAACTTGCAGGTGGTGATGTTCTCATGTATCTGCTGCCCTTGTTCTTCTAGATCGAAGTGGTTGTGGGTTTGGAAGGGGCTTCCTAAGGAGACTTTGTGAATGTCTGCTGTGCATTTGTAGATAATTGCAACAGTGTGTGCTAAGTGGTAGAGGGAGTGAATGTTTATGAATATGGCGCCAATCAAGTGGACCGCTTTGTCCTGAATTATATCAAGCTTCTTGAGCGTTGTTGGAACTACTCATTAAGGCAAGTGGGGATTATTTCATCACACTCTCACCATTACTCCTGTTACAATGCTAACATCTGGGATGTTGCTAGCAGCAGATTTGATGATGATAATTCCATTGAATATCAAGTAGTAATGGTTAGATTTCTGTATTGTAGGAGACAGTCATTGCCTGGTACTTGTGTGACATGAATGTTAATTGCCACTTGTCAGTCTAAGTCTGAATATTGTCTAGGCCTCACTGCATTTAGCCATTGACAGTTTAAATATCTGAGGAGTTGCAAATAGTGTTGAACATTGTGCAGTTGTGAGCACACATCCCCATTTCTCACTTTTTGATTGTAATTTGCATGAGTTCCCCCATGCCTTTGAATTCCTGATTGACAACTATTTTGAGGATGTTACTTTTATCCTCTATACTGGTTAATTCATCTGGCATCTCCTGGTTCTCTATTATTAATTCCCACACTCTGTTTTTATGGGAATAATACTCACTCCATTTTTTTCAATAGCTATAGAAACTCTTACTATCTGACTCAATATTTTAAGCTAGCTTCTTCTCGTACACTAATTTTCCCTCCATATTAATATTTTAGTCATTCTTTACCTTTTTTATATTCTTCTGAAATTCCCACCTGCCACTCGCTTTATGTAATTATATTATTTTTCTTTAAGTCTGATATTGCCTTTAACATTTTTTTAGTTAACATGGAACATATCATTCTAGACATTCTGCAAATATCTTTTACATGTATCCCACTTTGTCTCTGTTCAGCTATCCTTTAACCTAAACTGCCAGTTCTGCTTTCATTCACTCATAGTTCCCCTTCTTTAAGTTTGAAGTATTAGTTTTAGAATCACTTTTCAATCCCTCAAACTGGATGTAAACTTCTATGATCACTGCCACCTAGAAACACCTTCACTATAAGGTCATTAATTAATCCTAATTTGTTGTTCAGTACTAAGTCTAGAATAGCCTACTATCTGTTTGTTGCCAGAACATGCTTTTCTAAGAAATTATCCTGAAAATATTCTATGAACTCCTCATCTATGCTCCTTTGTCCATCTCATGCTTCCAATCTATATGTATATATAATCCATTGCAATTTTGAATGCAAATGCTAGAAAAATGGTTTTACAGATTATTTTTCAAGTCTGATCTCTTGGTGCTGTTTTTCTTCTTTTCCCAGAAACAAATCAAAAGCAACACAAAAGGAAAAGGTCAATCATGAACTGGACCTTTTGGCGTGGCTCTAGTACTCAGTTGGACAACATGCCTCTATCCCCAACCTCCATAACACCAGGCAGGCTCTTCGGCCTACCATTGTCAGCCATTTGTGAGGATGACAACTTCCCAAAGCCAATCATGGTATGTGACAAAATGTGGAGGTGCAGGTGTTGGACTGGGGTGGACAAAGTCGGAGATCACACGACACCAGGTTTTAGCCCAACAGGTTTATTTGAAATCACAAGCTTTCGGAACACTGGTGGTGAACCTGATGAAGGAGCAGCGCTTCGAAAGCTTGTGGTTTCAAATAAACCTGTTGGACTATAACCTGGTGTCGTGTGATTTCTGACTTTGTGACAAAATGGCTAGAGAGGGGCAGAGAGGGAAAATTATCTGTAAGCAAGGAGTATTTGAAGTCTGTTATGAAGGCTGTCCATATGCTAAGAGAAAGATGCATTTAAAATTCCGTCATATTTTGTATTAGTAGAATGCACACTTTATTCATTTTAGTGTAGTGGCATAGAAAAGAGGTTTGCCATGGGAAGGGGTTGACATGGAAATGGAGCAAGTAACCTTTAGTGACATCATTTGATCCATAATCCTTGACTGAAAAATAATGGAAAACAAATTTTGAAAGATTTCATAACCAGGATTAGGTACCTTGAATATTTCTGATGATGCTCCAGTTGTAAGTACAGTATTTAGAATCAAAAAGTATGAGATAGATTAAAGACGTTGTTATTAGCACAACGGAGAGGATGTCCTAAAATTGGGAAACCGGGGTTTAAAAGCACTTAGGGTAGGGTTGAGAATGATAAAGGCAAGACAGTATGATATGGGAAACAATGAACCAGTAGTGTAATCTCTGCACTCTTAATCCAGAAGCCCAGCTAATGTTCTGGGGACCTGGATTCAAATCTTGCCACGGCAGAAGGTAGTATTTGAATTCAATAAAAAAACAATCTGGAATTAAGAATCTACTGATGACTGTGAAACAATTGTCAATTGTCAAGAAAACCCATCTCCCTCACTAATGACCTGCAGGCAAGGAAATCTGCCATCCTCCTTTGGTCTGGCCTACATTTGACTCCAGACGCATTGCGTGCAACCCAAACACCACCAACACTATCTCTGGATATGTCTTGTCCCATCAGCAAGACAACCCCAGCAAAGGTGACAGTACAGTGATATATGGTCAGGAGGGAGTCCTCAACATTCACTCTGTATTCCATGAAGTCTTATGGCTTCAGGTTAAACATGATCAAGGAAATCTCCTGCTGACCATCCTCCCTCAGTTGATGAATCAGTCCTATTCCAAGTTGAGCAGCACTTGGAAGAAAGTACTGAGGATGGCAAGGGCACAAAATGTACACTGGGTGGGGGGATTTCAATGCCCACCACCAAGAGTGGCTCAGTAGCAGCAAAACTGATCAAGCAAGTCAAGTCCTAAAGGACCTTGCTGTTAGATTGGGCCTGCAGCAGGTGGTGAGGGAAAAACATACTTGACCTCATCCTTACCAATCCGTTGGCATGACCGTATCAGTAAGTGACCACCCCACTGTCCTTGTGGAGACAAAGTCTCGCCTTCACATTGAGAATCACTCCATCATGCTGTATAGCACTATCACTGTGCTAAATGGGATAGACTCCAAATAAATCTAGTAACTCAAGACTGGGCATCCAAGAGGTTCTGTGGTCCATTAACAGCAACAGAACTATAATCTGTAATCTCATGGCCCGGCATATCCCCCACTCAGCCATTACCATCAAGCCAGGGGATCAACCCTGGTCCGATGGAGGGTGCAGGAGGGCATATGCCAGGAGTAGTACCATGCATAGCCAAAAATGAAGTGTCAACCTGGTGAAGGTACCAAGCAGGGCTACTTGCGTTCCAAACAGCATAGGCAGCAAGAGACAGACAAAGCTAAGCCACTACAACCATCACATCAGATCTAAGTTCTGCAGTCTTGCCACGCCCAGCTGTGCGTGTTGACACTACAAATATCCCTATTCTCAATGATGGAAGAGCCCAGCACCTCATCAGTCGGAAACATAAGGTTGAAGCATTTGAAGCAATTTTCATCCAGAAGTGCCAAATAGATGATCCATCGTGGCTTCCCCCAGCAACACGTATGCCTGTCTTCAGCTAATTTAGTTCATTCCACATGATATCACATGGAAGCGGATGGGCATATGAATAGAAAGGGTTATGGCCAAATGCTGGTAGATAGGACTAGATTAATTTAGGTTATCTGGTTGGCATGGATGAGTTGAACCGAAGGGTCTGTTTCAATGCTGTACATCTCTGACTCTATGACTCTATCTTTGGATACTGCAGAGGCTGTGGGTCCTGAAAATGTTTTGAAAATGGTACTGAAAACTTGTGCTCCAGAACTTGCCACTCCCCTAGCTGCTCCAATACAGTTACAACACTGGCATTTACTTGACAATGAGGAAAATTGCCCAGATATGTCCTATACACAAAAAGCAGGACAAATCCAACCTGGCCGATTAGCGTCCCATCAGTCTACTCTCGATCATCAGCAAAATGATGGATCATCAGCAGCACTGCCAAGCAGCACCTGCTCAGCAATAACCTGCTCAGTGACGCCCAGTTTAGGTTCTGCCAGGGCCACTCAGCTCCTAACCTCATTACAGCCTTGGTTCAAACATGGTCAAAAATGTTAAGAGTGACAGCCCGTGACAGCCCTTGGCATCAAGGCACATTCAACCAATTGCGGCATCAAGGAGCCCTAGTAAAACTGGAATCAATGGAAATTAAGGAGCAAACTCTCTGCTGGTTGGAGAATTACCATTGACCAGAAACTCAACTGGACTCACCATAATACAGTGGCTACAAGAGCAGATCAAAGGCTACAACGAATACTGCAGCGAGTAACTCCCCTCCTGACTCACCAAAGCCTGCCCACCATCTACGAGACACAAGTCAGGTGTGAGAAGGAATACTCCCCACTTGCTTGGATGGGTGCAGCTCTAACAACACTCAAGAAGCTTGACCCCATCCAGGACAGAGCAGCCCACTTGATTGACACCACATCCACCAGCATTCACTCATTCTACCATCAAAGCACTGCTGTGTGTATTGTTTACAAGATGCACAGCAGAAATTCACCACCAAAGATCCTGAGACAACACCTTCTAAATCCCTGACCACTTCCATCTAGAAGGATAAGGGCAGCAGGTACATGGGAACACCACCATCTGTAAGCTCTCTTCCAAGCCACTCACCATCCTGACTTGTAAATATGTTGCTACTCCTTCAGAATAGCTGCATCAAAATCCTAGAGTTCCCTGCCAAAAAGCATTTTGTGTCTACCTACAGTACATGGATGGTAACGGTTCAAGAAGGCAGCTCACCACCACCTTCTCAAGGGCAGTCCCAAAGAAGAAATCAGTAAAGAAGAGAATTTTAAACAGCCTGCCTTGCTACTTGGCTGCATTGTCACTGCTTCCGATCTATGTCCGGGGGTGGTAGGTTCAACTCCAATCCACACCTACCCCAGAGTGAAAATTATGCCATTTGGGACACTTTCTCTGAAGGATGCTCCCTGTTTCAATGGCAAAAATCCAGCTCCTATAATTTTATCCACAAATAAATGCGAATGGTTGGTAAAATGTCTGAGATATGTTTAACCGAATTATTATTTGCTTTACACAAAGTTGTTAGACACAAAGGGCCAAAACTGAACAAACTACTAATGGAAAGAACTTGCATTTGTAAAATAAAAACCGAAAGAACTGCGGATACTGTAAATCTTCTGTTTTTGTTGCCTTTATAAAAATGCTTTAATTTAAAGAATATCTCCAAGGCTATTCATAGACAAATGAAAAACAAACGCTGAGACAGGGAGGGAGAACTAAGAGTGGTAGTGGTGGGCTGAGTGGGTTTGGGAAGTGGGTACGTGTACCAAAAGCTTAGTCAAATGTATGGACTTTATGGAGAACTTTTAAGAGAGAGATTGGAGCAGTTTAAGGAGTGATTTCCATCATTCAAGCCGAGATCACTGAAAATGCCAGTCAATTATGATCTGAAAGGAGGGGTCACATGCAAGAACCTGGTGTCAAAGAGACACACTGTTTGATCAGCAATGGGTTGTATGGATATTTTCTGGCTGTGGCTTCAGAGCTTGGTGAGGTGAAGCCATTAATTAGGGATGAGGGGAAGGAATTTAAATTTCATGCGTACAAATCACATATCAATGGAGATTAGTGAGGACCAAGTGATTGGTATTTGTGATGGGGGTCTGGACAAACAGGCATTTATGGACGATGAAGAATGAGAGACCAGTTAAGGGAGAATTCGCCTAAAAACAAAGTGCTAGAGAAACTTAGGTGAAGAGACAAACAGAGGGCCGGATAAAATGTATCCCAGCTTGTTGGGTGAGGCAAAGGAGGAAAAGCAGGGACGCTTGCAAAAATTTTCAATTTCTTTCTGGCACAGGAGAGGTGTTGGAGGACTGCAGGGCAGCCAATTTAGTACCATTATTCATGAGGGAAAAAGTCCAGTCAGCCTAAGCTCAGTGGTGGGGAAATTATTAGAAACAATGCTGAGAGACAGAATTATCTACATTTGGAGAGGCAGGGATTAATCAATTAATAAAGTCAAATAGTTTTGTTAAGGGTTGGTCCTGATTGAAGAGGTGACCAGGTGTGTAGATGAGGGTTTTTGATGCCGTCTACTTGGACTTCAGCAAGGCTTTTGAAAAGGTCCTGAATGGGAGATTGATAGCAAAGGTTAAGTGTCCATGGAATTCAAGGAATTTTGGCAAATTGAATTCATAGTTGACTGGGTGGCAGGAAGCAGAGGGTGATGGTGTAGGGATGTTTTTTTCCAAATGGAAGTCTTTGCCCATTGGAGTTCCATAGGGGTCAGTGTTGGAACCCATGCCGTTTGTGGATTATATAAATAATTTAGACTTGAATCAAGGAGGGTTGATCAGTTAGTTTGCAGATAATAGAAAAATTCATGAGGTGGCAAGTGTTGAGGAGGATAGCCTTAGATTATAGGGGAATATAGATGGATTGGTCAGATGGGCTGATCAGATGCAAATAGAATTCAATCGGATAAATGTGAGGTGATGCATTTGGGGCAAGGCAGATATGGCAAGAAAATACACGATGAACGGTAGTACCCTGGGAAGAATGGAAGATCAGAGAGACCTTGGTGTACACTGGTTCCTTAAGGTAACAGCACAGCTGGATAAAGTGGTTATGAAGACATATATTAGGCTTGCCTTTATTAGCCAAAGCATAGAGTTAAAGAGCAGGGAAGTTATCTTGGAGCTGTATAAAATGTTGGTTAGGCCACATCTAGAGTATTGTGCGCAATTCTGGAATCCACATTATAGAAGGGATATAATAGTTCTGGTGAGGTTGCAGAAGAGATTTACCAGGATATTGCCTGGGGTGGAGAGTTCCACTTATGAAGAGAGATTGGACAGACAGGAATTGTTTTCCTTGGTGATGAGGAGATTGAGAGGGGACATTGTTGCAATGTATAAAGTTATGCAGGGCACAGGTTAGATTTGAAGCAGTTTTTCCCCTCTGTGGAGGGATGATTGACCAAGTGGCATAGATTTAAGGTAAAGGACAGAAGGTTTATAGGCAATGTGAGGAAAAAAATGTTTTCACCCAGAGAGTGGTGGGAACCTGGAAATCACTATCTGTAGGATGGTCGAGGCAGAAACCCTCATAACATTTAAGAAGTACTTAGATGTGCACTTGCAATGCCATACAAGGCTCTGGACCAAGTGCTGGAAAATAGAATTAGAATAGTTAGGTGGTTGTTTTTGACTGGAGCAGATGTGATGGGCCAAAGGTCCTTTTTCTGTGCTGTAGGTCTGTATGACTCTATTGTCAGTGACTTTTTCACTAAAATAAAGCTTCTTTCTGTTATCTCTGACAAACAGGTCTTAGTTATGTTGTCTCAAGGGTTAAAGCAGAAGTTGAATATGCATTCTTCAGTCAATTCAGTTTCACAGCACACTCTTATTACTTTTATCTTTTTCTCTTATATTATAGGACATGCTTTCCTTTCTGTTTCGTGAAGGTCCATTCACCAGAGGCATTTTCAGACGTTCTGCTAATGCTAAAGCCTGCAAAGAGCTGAGAGAGAAGCTGAATACTGGAGCTGAAGTGCACTTAGCCTGTGAATCTGTGTTTGTGACAGCTGCTGTGTTCAAAGTATGTTAAGAGCATGCATTCAGAATCTGAATTACATTTTATTCCATCCCAGATGGAAGATTACATTGTGCTGCTGCATTTCAATCAAATTAAGGATGAGATGCCTGGTAGTTTAGAATGTTGGTACACTAGTGCTGTGGTAAACCATCAGGGTCACACTAAGGACTTTCCAATATTTTCCTCCCAAAGTTGAATGAGTTCTCAATGGAAGTCAGAAAACTAAGACCAAGTAATTCTTCAGGAGGAGGAATAGAATAACAGGGACTGAGTTACTAAATCCAATTGTTGCCTTCAATTATTCCGTAGACTAAGATCATTTAACTCAGGAGAGACCAGGATTAAGTTATTTTCTCTATAAAAACCTGGTCTATGTCCTTAACCTGAGTAAAATGAAGATAGCAGTCATTGTGTAGAGACCCTCTTGCCCTTAAGATATATTAGTAAACTTGCTGAACATGAAATGGTCTTTTCATAAAATTGAGAAACTGGAAATATGAAATAAAAACAGAAGATACTGTAGGAAGTAAGGTTTGGTTGGAATCTGTGGATCCAGGAACAGAGTTACTGTTTCAAATCCAGTATGACTCCTCTTCAGAACTGAAAGGGTTAGAAAATGGTGGGTTTCTTTTTAATGCTGTTGACAGGGGGGGAAGAGGAGTAAGTGAAACAGATGGTAAGGGTACCCAGAGCAAAAGACACAGGAAATGCTAGAAAATGGATAAAATATCAAAAATTAATACCAAAAGTTAAGTTTGCAACTGTATTTTTTCCAACTTTCTCTCCACCTCTGCTGTAATTGGTAACTGATATGGGGGAATGATTTCACAATTGTCAGAAACAGCTTGTGTGTCGCCATGTTTGAGTTTAAACTATGATATTCCAAATTTCCTCATGGTCTGTTGTCCAATACCTAGGTAAGGGGGACACAAAAGCCCCGTGAGAAACAGTATATCAGGGTATATCTGTAAATAGTGGGTGCTGAGTTAGGAGATACTAAAGGATTTTTTCTTGGGTGGCAGAGGTAAGTATGATGTTAGAAAAGGGCAGGGCCTCGCAAGAGTCCAGTGGAATTCCTGTGGCTCAATTTCCTAAGTTCTTAATGATCCTAGATGCTAGTAATATGGTGGGTGAAGGTCTGTGTCTGCACAATCCTAGAAGACTTCCAGCAGCATTGGGTGAATCAACAATCTTCCAAAGTGCTAGGTTTACTTAATCTTGTATAAATAGCACTGTCAAACCACAGTTGGGGAACTTCCTACACGCCCCTCAATCCCCAGTCCCAGTGGGGGACCCTGAAAGAGTAGCTGCATCGGCACTGTACCTCCTGAAAATATTTTAATTGACTGTCACTAACTGATTTTTGACACTCCAGTGAAGCTGGGAGTAGGGGTCACAATGCTGCGAAAGTACTGAATTTTACCAGTTGCCCTATGAGTGTCTGAGTTGAAAGGTTGATAGCACAATAATTATTAGTAAGTGGAACCTGACTCCATTGCTTGTCTCACCAGTGGATGTTCCCTTAACTGTCTTGTGTGTAATCATTTATTTGGATTATTTCTCCTCCTCCCTAGATTCAGGAAGGGCCCATGACAGGAACTACCCATATAGGGACATGGAAGTAAATAGGGAGGAAAAAGTAGCAATTTAAACAAATATAATGATTAAGAATTTTTTTTAATAATTTCCTTTCAGTCCACTAAGTGAAGAATGTGTATTAAAACATCAAAGTGTTTAGTTAGTTGAGGGAAATGAATAAGACTCAAATCACATGTTAAAATTATAGATGCAGTTAATCGGTACGCATGTCAGGAAAGATATTTTAATTTAGGAGGAAAGCGGACTGTTCACTGAAACTAGTTTGGATTTCTTGGCAATGTACCACTATAAGCACCTTCCATTAGCATGAGCCGCTTAGAAAATAATGTCTAGCACAAAATGAATAATCAGTGTTATTCATTATACAGAGGTAAAATAATTTTAAATATATAAATAATTAGAAAAAAATATAAACAGAACCCCTACAATTTTCTGACTGAATTACATGTAGGTTATAATAAATCATTTGACTGTGGGAAAATTCAATACAAGTTTTAAAAAAAAACTTAGGAAATTCCAATGTTGATCAAAGTAATTGAGAAGATAATTTTAGCTTTTTCTTCAAATGGTTTCCGTAAGTCTGCAACTGCAAACTGTGACTCATATATTGAAACAGAAAAAGCTTAAAAAACAAACAGAAGAAATTTTATGAAGAGGGAAAGCCATTTCCCTCTAGCAGGAGTGTCCTGTCTTCTGAATGTCCCAAAATATTTCTCAGGTCTGTTAATTACTTTTGAAGTATATTCTTTAATGCTTTGTAGGCAAATACAACAGCTAATTATGGGATCTTGTGGGCACACTAAACAACAATGAGATAATAGGCCAAACAATTTGATTTGTTTGAGGGGTAAATGTTAGCTAGGCCATGTTAGCCTGTTGTTGAATGCTACCATGAACTTTTTATATATGTCAAAGCCTTTGTTTAACACCTCATCTGAAAGCTAACACATTCAATAATGCACATTCCTTCCTGAAATGCCAAGTTACATCTTTAAACTTATTGTGGATTTGACCCTACCACCTTATGACTTATGAGCAAGGGCATTATCATTGAGACCGTTTTTTTTAACAAGTTTACCCTCATCACTTTAATGTATCTCTAAAGCAATCACTCCCTCGCCATCTAAATTATTGGGAGTCCATATCATCCATTTTAGTGAACTTCTTACGATAATCTGTGAAGTAGATTTGCTCATTTGATTTACAACAGGTGATGAGCTCTGAAATGTTGCCCATAACCAAAAATAACCTGTGTTTGTGAGAGACAGTAGGAACTGCAGATGCTGGAGAATCTGAGATAACAAGGTGTAGAGCTGGATGAACACAGCAGGCCAAGATGCTGCTTGGCCT